TGCTGTATCTATCTGGCTTGCCGGCAGGCATAGTTTTGCCAAAAGAAACTGATCCAATTGTAACTCTTTGCTTGCGAAATGAACTCTTTTGGGGTACCACTTAAAATGTTGGATTCAGCCGGTTACCTTCACCATGTTAAACCCCCTGATTCCCTGCAGTTGCGAGCACACAGAAGCCTTTGGGTAACAAGTTCATTGACATGATCATGAAGCATTTGCCCCTGATGCGAATTCCTGAATATGACATGGAAAGGGCAGCTCGCCACCTTGAAGATTGGATCCATGACCGACTCCCCTTGGATGAATTTGTAGATGTGTTTGCGTCACTTGTTTTCCCCCAACACCTAGTTAGATCTTTTTGGTTTTCCCCAGCCCCTCAAGCTTTAGAGCAGCATTGTCTTGAAGTGGGGGGATGGGCTCCTAACCCCTTCCAATCAACCACAGAAGCTGGCTCTAGGTTTGAGACCTGTCCAGCCGCAACTTTATCAGCAGTGCTTCCTGCGTGTCAGCCGCAGTCCTTGGAGCAGAGGGCCAACCACATAGCGTCCCTCAAATTGATTTTAAAGCAATGGCTAAAACCATATTTCTTTGGTGGTCTCTTATGATTTTATGATTGTCAATGAACCATTTGGGATTTTGCCACTAAAAGGGTTACTTTTCAGGTTTCCAGTTCCCTCAACTATGTGGTTGATGCTGATGAGGTTGAACCGTGGTCAAATTGATCGGAAACACATCACCGAGTACAGATCCAAAGCAAAAAATTAATTGATTCGTGATGTCGCTGCCCAAGCATGGTCTTGGGGAATGCCGTGGGCAGAAGCCCTGTCAATTTCTAGAAAGGCCTTCCAGAAGGCAGACCCAAAAGCAAAACCCCTGCCAAAGTGCAAGGCGAAGGCCAAAAGAGCCCCCAGGCCCAGATCGTGATGGATTCTATGCTGGGAAAAATTCATCGGAAATCTCCAAGTGGGGACTCAAATTTTCATCGGAAAAAATATGTAAGTGCATAAGTCTCTTGGGTGTTGATTTCTGATGGATCCTAGGTAGCTTTCATCGTATAAGATGTATAAGGCTACCCAAAGCTAAGGAATGATTTTTTGGGGTGTTTCTGGCTATAGTTTATTTTAATCTGCCTGCGCTGTATGTGATGAAAGACACCTAGGATTCATCGGATAAGCCAAACGTTTCTGATTGAGTTGCTTCTGATGAATTCAACCATTTTAGGAGCACCAGTTCTGATGAATAGTTTCTGATGAATCAGAGGTAGGGTTCGTCGGAATGGATAGCTGGATTCCAGAAATTCGTCGGAATGGATACCTGGATTCTAGAAATTCGTCGGAATGCCCATGTTGATTCCAGAAATTCGTCGGAATGCCCATGTTAATCCCAGAAATTCGTCGGAACAGGGTCTTAGATTCCATCAGTCAACTGATCTCCCAGAGTTAACTTTATATTTTATTAACAGACATGATAAAACTTTGTACCATCAACCCCTTATCCCCTTATGTTTCACTTTCTCCCTCTTGGTCCTGCGTCCCCCAAGGTGCCAGACATGCTTGGCAACGTAAGGAGCCGGGATGGAAAAGGATGCTGTGCAACACCTGCCAATGTTTGTTGATTTGAAAAATCTCACATGGTCAGGCTGCATCTTCGCACAATCCGGAATTATTGCTCTGAGATTAACCACCTATGATCAAAGGGTTTTGGCTTCTTGGGCCATCAACTTGCCGTGGGCGGTAGGAACTGGGAAGGATAGCCATGCCAAAATGAAAGTCTGGTGGCGACCAAGGTGGAAAGCCAGCAGGTAAGCAGCAGAGGATTGAAGTTGCGCACAAGATTTCCCAACCGGACATTGTGGGGAAGATTACTCAATGGAATCTTGGATTCATTTCAAACCACATTCAGATTGGTTAGATAAAAAACTTTTTGAAATTTCTTCATAGGATGTCCACAGATCATGTTGCCTCTCCCAGCATCTCTCAGCACGTGCTGCCCGCTGGTGGAGGCGACAAGTACCTCTCAGCCAAGTACAACACCCAGGCGTGCTTGGTTGGGTTTTCGTGGTGATAATGGGTTTCTACAATCAACTCTCTGCAGGTACAATATATGCATGATAGATTCCGTGATAGTGTTGAACTAATCAAGGTGTCATTGGGGTTTTGCGCAAGGCTTGTTTCAACATCCATGCCCACTGTTGGAAGGCCCTGATGACAGACCGCGCCCAATGGCTGAACACCTCTTTCCCATGTGACCAGACGCTGGGGTCTAAGCTATGATAACATAAGATATCATTTTTTGTGGTCAGCTAATTTCTGAGGAAGACCTACTGCACCTCACTGGAGAAGCCTGGTGCCTGTTACCTTCGACCATATCAGCTTGCATGGAGGAGCGAGTTTGGCTTGGCAGGGTGCCAGGAACCCGACCAGCTGATCTCCATGGAAGAGTTGATCTTGTCTGAAACGTGTCTAGAACCAATTCGACATTAGGTGTCAAAGTCCTTTCCAAAAGAAGTATCAAACCCATATCCAACAGGAAGTCCAAAAACATATTTGAATTTTGACAGATTGGCAACTTCAGCTCGTAATTTTAGACGATTGGCAACCCAACTAAGGTTTAGGTCCAATCCAGACCTGGGTGCAACTGAAAAAGTCACCGTGACCACAATCTGTGATGAGTTCCTTGAGGGAGCCTACACACCGATGAAATCCGATGAAGCCACTTCTTGCTGGTAGGTCTTTGGTGGCATGCTAGGTAGACTTAGGTAGATTCTCCCCCATGATATTCCTCAAATATAGTTGGCCCAAACATCGTTTTAGTGAATGATTTCTTAACCCAGGTTTCCCTCCTGTGCCTCAGGTTTCTTGGTGCCTCCTTTCCACACAGACTACATCAAGGGATGGCGGCGGTGTTTGTCACTGCTGGTTTGCTGCCAAGGGATCAGAGGATTAGATCTTCTGAACTCTGAACGAAATCCCAGATGAGACCAAGGACAGAACCCATAATCAAACCTCTTGGACTAAAACATGTTTAAAAAATAGAAGCTCTATAATTTCATTTCAGACCTCGAATCATCACCGCAGGAAAGCTTTGGAACAATCCATGGGACCAGTCTGGATGCTGATTCTATGAAGGCCAAGATCTATTCCTCTCGTGGTAACTAGGCCATTCAACTGATTCTTACTTCTGGTGGTTTGGGTTTACTACAGTGGGTGATTAGTGCATGGTTTCCAAGAATTCAACTTCTTACTCGTGATTCCACTTAGGTATGACCATGCAAAGCCAGCAGCGACATGCTCCACATTGTTTCAACTTGCTGCGGCAAAGTCGTGTGTTAGCCAAGTGTGGGAAAGGCGATGTCCAAAAACACTTTGATGTCATTTGATTCAATTCAGGATACTATTTTTCTTTGGGGTTCGTCCCCAGCTAATTTTTGGGGAGCTGAACCAAAATCTTGAAGATAACATCTGTGGTTTTCAATTTTCTTGCCTTGATCGCCCATCCTTGCTCAGGCATGGGAATCGGAGACTTCGCTGTGCAGGGCCTTTGCCATTGGCAAAACGGAGGCCAACGCGGCGACGCGGTGATGCAGCTTCACACTGGTATGGATCCGGTTGTGAGGGACGCACTGGAAGAAGCAGTACAGCTCTATGGCATGCGACCCATCATTTACCATGATGCGATTTCAAAAGAATGCTTTGGCAGGGGATTCTGTTCAGCAACTTCTGGTATGGAGGAATGGAGCTCCCACTTGACAAATGGTGCACACGCGAATGACCCTGTGGTCCCTTATCATTTTTATTTATATTCTTGAAATTTATAACGTCAAACACATGGGCACTAAGTGCATGAGGGATCCCTGACAGTTCACTTTGTCTACAAGTTTCAAACTATAGGATTGTTTACTTACCAGCTGATTTTTCACCAAGGATATCCAGGGATAAAATTCATGTTTATACATGTTTGCCCCAACAATAGCTAGCAACTTTGCCATACTCAGGCTCTGTTGTTCGTGCAACGTGTGGTCTCGGACTTCAAAAGGGCAAGCGATGCTGTCCGAAAACCCTTGAACTATAAGGATGCCCTCTACAAGCACCAAATTGTGGGCCTACAGTTTCAAGGCCACTTTCCGAGCCACATGTCCCGAATCTGAGTGGCCATCTTTGTCCAGTGAGCTGGATGATGCTTTCTTCCAACAACTCCTAGACACAGACCTGCACGCAGCCCTCTTGGCATCCGTGCCACCAGGTGATCTCCTTGCGATTGGAGCTTTCAGGCAGGGGTCGCCCAAGATAAATCCATTGAATCAGTATCAATTCCCATTCGTCATTTAGAGGGAATGATGGGGCTGTTTGCGGCTCATGTTCTGATTTAGCAATAGAAAAGAGAAACTGACAGCTATCCCTGTCTGACTTCGGAAAAAATGGATAAATTAAAACCCGTTGCGCAAGGCCACATTTGGGCCGTTGGGAAAGGTCATGGAAACCAAGGCGTCCCAGGCGGTGGAAGGTGCCAAGGATGCGAAGTTTCTCAGGGAACGCCAACTGATCCTCAATCTTGTTGAAAAAATATTTCGGGTATTTGCCAAAGATTCCATCAAGCTCTATCTATGGCCCCTAGGTTTGCCCTTTCGGGTCTTATTTTTTGTATTTGCAATTGCACATTATAGTGACGCAGGAAAGCTGCTGCATGGGTCAAGAACTGGATGTCTACAAAGTGTGTCCTCATCGAAGCTTCCGACTCGATGGCAGGTGGCATGAACGAATTCACGGCCTTCAGTGCGCAGTTTCATGGATCAGCTGGCAAGCAGTAATTTGCCTACCTGGTTTGGGCAATCCTGACTAAGTGGGAATCAGTTGGGTAAACCTTTGAAGATCTCAATTAATTTTTTGGGCTCCATTCCAATCCTAGGGTTAATTACTCTGGTGGAGTTAGACGCAACCCTGTGGCCATCAAACTCTACCTACTTGACATCAGCTGTGGCTTTGGTGGGCCAAATAGTGAACATGTCTGAGAACAAGGTGTGCCAGGTTCAAATGCCTCAGCTACAATCTTCGACATCGAGTGACACCGTGCTGAAGCACCGTCGAAGTTTGGAAGACCTACTTCGTGCCCAAAAAATGGATGTGAGTGCAATGATGCTGCTGCGCTTTGACAAGCCTGACTCCAACCGAAATGACAACCGCAAGCCGGCCCAGCCATGTCTAGCAGCCCTCAGTACCAACTACAAGAGCCACAGTTTCGCGGAGTGTGAGGCCCTGACATCTTGCACCATCGGCCCAGTGCCACTCATCAAGACCTCCCAGATGTTGGGCTATGATGCTGAGACTGGAAGCATGAGTGCGGGATTGAGAACAGAACAGATACTGGTTGTGGTTTATGGTTTTTACTTTTACTTTTTACATCTTTTTACCCTTTAAGTTCCCCACCTGCCAGGTGAGGGTTGTTAGATTTTATCACAGTTGTTCTCCTCCTCTTCCTCCTCGGCTAGCTCTCCTCCTCCTTCTCCTCCTCCGCCTCCTCCTCTTCCTCCTCCTCCAGTTTCTCCTCGACCATGTCTGCATCAACTTCCACCTTCACTTCCGCCTTGCCAACTCTTTGCCAAGCTCTTCGCCAACTTCCGAGCTCAGTGTGCACCGCTGGACCTCAACCTGGGACCTGCCCAGCTCAGTGTGCACCGCTGGACCTCAACCTGGGACCTTCCCAGCTCAGTGTGCACCGCTGGACCTCAACCTGGGACCTTCCCAGCTCAGTGTGCACCGCTGGACCTCAACCTGGGACCTCCGAGCTCAGTGTGCACCGCTGGACCTCAACGGCCAGATAGAATGCCAGAAGATAAGATATGCCAGATAGAATGCCAGAAGAATGCCAGAAGATATGCCAGATAAAGTGCCAGAATGTTTGCCAGATAGAATGCCAGAAGATATGCCAGATAAAATGCCATAAGATATGCCAGATAGAGTGCCAGAAGATATGCCAGATAGAATGCCAGAAGGTATGCCAGATAAAGTGCCAGAAGGTATGCCAGATAGAATGCCAGAAGATATGTCTGATAGAATGCCAGAAGATTTGCCAGTAAAAAAAAATGTATAAATGTCATGAGTCATGGTGGGGATCACACGAAGTAAAGTAATTTTCTCTGAAGAGATATGGTTGCCTCTAACATAATCGGTTTTACTTGGCCCAATGAGTTTGACCATTCCAGGAAAGGAGTCCCATGTCATATCGAGATCTTGAAGGCCTACCCAAATGGCCTACAGCTGAGCAATTCCGATGCCTTTGTGATTGTGAATGTCATTCCAAACAGGCTCAGTTTGACCAAGAGTCCATCTTAATGCAAAAAAAAGGGAAGCTATTTGGCACAACCACTGGGAATCTCTTATGAACAGCAAACTACTGTAGTTGGAAAAAATGAATGTTGCACCCCTCATAGGTTTCACAAAAGATTAACAATGATTAACGATCATGTGTTTTATTTGTTTTGCCATTCCCGGGCACTGTGAGTTTGCACGAGCAGCTGTTCAATGCATCTTGGACAACACCATCCCACAAGCACATTACATGGGGTTTGTGAGGAAGGACTTCTTTGCAAAGATTCATGAGTCGATTTCGTCTACCCTCTATGAGTACTGGGACAACTCTGAGATCTCCGGCCCCAAGCAAAGGCCACGGGAGTCGAACACATCAGCTCCCTTGGGCTTCAAGCTCCTGGCTGTGAACAGCCATGGTCAAGTGGTGTGGCCTGATTCTATAGAAGGGCTTTTCCACAGGGCAGTAAGGAGATTGAAGTCATCCACAAAAAGAAGGCTGAATTCTTGGAGATGTGCCCCAATGCCCCACGACAGGGCCAATCTACTTCGACTTCTCAGCCACGAACATCTTCAACACCAGACTTTTCGATTGAGGGTGGAGCAACACCAATTGACCCTACCCGGATGGTTGACATGGCTGAAATTCCATCTGCAGAGTTTACAGCCGAAAGGCCAGGTTAAGAAGTCACCACCAATTATACTTGGAATGGGTCCCCAAAAAGCATATATAGATTATCGATTACTTTCAAAGAGAAAAATAAGTGCTTTGCTTCCCCTGTCAGGCTTGCCACACCCCCCGGCAAGAACACCCGACCGACCGTGGTAATCACGAAGGACTGGAGCATCTTCATTGGAAATGAACGTGCCGAGGACATGACAGTGGACCCCTTTCCATTGTTTGGCTTTGGTCTTGGAGATTTTGAAGAAATGGTTTGCGAAGGTTGGGGGTTGGGGGGGTTCACCAGAACCAAACTATATATATTTATATTTTTTTTTTCTTTCCCAGTACCTACCACCAAGTACCCACCTCCAAGTATGTACCTCCAAAAATGTTACAGGATAGTATCAGGGAAACAGTTTGATAGAAGACCCCGGAGTTTAAGCTCAAACCCAACAAGCTTTACAGTTTTACGTGATGATTGTCACAGGTGATGGTGCCCAAGACATCATCAACAAGTTCATTCCATGGAAGCTGGGCGATGACAAGGACCTGGTGTGCTTGGATTCCAAGCTCCAACCGTTATGTGGGGTGCTTCACGGCATGTTCTCAGAACATGGCTTGGTTGATGTGCAGATCTTGGACCATTCTCAGACTGCAAAGATGCGACCAGTCATTTGGTGGTATGATTCATTGAACTTTCACTAGTTTAAGTTTTGAAAGCAATTTGGGCATGTAACTTTGATCTATTCTTCATGTTCTCTAGCTGCCAGCCCCCCCAATCCAATCGTCCTCGAAACTATCCAAGGTGGCTGCTGAAGGGCAAGAGCCAGTGCCTGCACCATTCAGGTTTGCCATTGGGATTTCGAGAGGTGGTAAGACACATTGCTTCCGTCCAAACCAGTTGGATGGCCAGGATATGATGAATGTGAAACACCAGGTGCTGGGTCAGGTCTTCCATGGCAACTACAGCCGGATTGGGCGAACAAGAAGGCATCTGTGGTTTGGGAAGTGCCTCAAAGCATTTCAGTGATCAAAATTATGATTGAAATCAACCCAGTATGGTATCCTCTTGCAATTTATGATATTTTGCAATATTGGCCCATTGTTGTCCCTATCTCAGATGTCTGCAACGACATCCGTGCCACCAACAATTCTTCCGGTTAAGCCTAAGTTCTGGCTTACCTGTTCCTGCACTTTGGCTGGGAAAACCTGGTACAAAGTGACCTCCTGCGCCTAGTTGGATTTTCTCGACTGAAGTTGTGAGAGATAGATCGTAGATGGATGGACTCCGATGGTCTTCCACCAATCTTGAACAAAACTGTTCTGATTGTGAGGGGTAGCAGCTAGACTCCATAGGTGGACGTTCCTAAGCCTCCCCAAAGCTTCACTTTCAGTAGCTAAATTAATGGTACCATGATAATGAAACAACTTACTCATACTCATATGCATCAAGACTTGATAGGGTGTTGCCTGGAGATGTCCCAGAGGAGTCCAGCTGATGAGGACTTCCTTGAGTCCAGGTCTTGACACGCTAGAACATCGGATCGATGATGATTGGGAAAAACATATTTTCTTCACAATCTATGTTTTGTCTTTGAAACACTAGGATCAACTCTGCATGGAATCTTATTGATCAGCTCCATTGCATTGAAATTGGATCACATTGTGGCTTCAAAAGGGCAGGTTCTTGGGGGAACCTGATTTTTCCAGCTTCCTGCTTCCTGCACCTGATAGCTTGTTAGCTATGGGGTGCTTCGTCCAGTGACCAATCTTACCGAGTCAGAAGAGGAGCTCTGGGTGACAATTAAAGGGTGGCTTTGACCAAATAAATATTTATCAATATCGATTAACATCCCTTTGGAACCTGGCCTTATATGGGTGGTGTTCAACAGTAATAGAAATTAATTTGAACTGTTTTCAGTCCTGTATGATGCATGGCTTACACAACATCCACTACAGATTAATTCGCAGGAGCCTGAAGCTACACAGGCTGAAAAGCCCTCTGAGGAGCCGAAAGGGAAGGATAAGGTTGTTCCCAAGCCTAAACGTAGCCCCAAGACAGTTTCAACAACAGCAGCTAGCTCCGCCTCAGCAGCTCCTCGTCGTGGCCGGCCGCCCAAAGCGACCTCAGGTGGTCGCAAGCGGGCAGCAGCTAAGAAGGCTGCGACGGCTAAGGGGAAAGCCAAGGCGAAAGCCAAGGGGAAAACCATCAAAAAACCAGCTACGAGTGAGACTACGGAAGTTGAAGATGGTGATGGTCCTATCCCCAAGACGTCAAAGAGACCTACTGCGATGAAACGGCTTGCTGCAGGCCACCAATTCAATTCAACATGAATGATGATTTCTTATGTACATTGGTTCAAGATCCTCACAGCAATGTGATTTTTCATTTTTTCGCAATGTGCTGGGATTCTACCTACCCCTTGTTCCTGTTCCCAGGCAACCGTCGAAAGAGCATGCAAGCCTTTTCGAACCCATACTACTACGGGCGTGCCAACACATGGGCAATCAAACATAATGGCAAAGAAGTTGTCCGAGCCACTGGGCTCTTATCATTGTTGGTGATTGTTTCATGGATATCAAATACAAACAAATATCATATATATCATAAACAATTTGCGCGCTATGTTTCTCCACATCTCTCTCACTTTTGGAGTCCAGCAGTCTTGGGATTAATGAGGCTGGTGGCAGGGGTTTTGAGAAGAACGATGTCAAAAAAAGTCATTGTTTGAAACTCAGCTGTTAGCAGAACAAATTCCTTTTCAATCATATAGTATATGATATATCAATTTTGTGGCCTCAGGACGCGGCGCATGAATCTTTGTTGAAGGGTGAGACCATTGAAGACACCAAGGCCATGTGTGTAACTTGGCAATCAACTCCTGGTCCATTCAGTCACTAGTGAGAGAAAAATGCTTTGGGAATTATATGATGGGTGATGGATAGCCGAGGCTACGATGATGAGCAAGTTGACCCGCAACAGTGGACGTGACAATGGCAAATCTGAGACACCAGCAGACAATGGCACAGCTGATAGCACTCCAAAGACTCCAAAGCATGCAAAGCATGTGACAGATGATGCGATGGACAATGATGAGACTGGCAATGACTGTCCTCATGGTGGTTCCGAAGAGGACCGTGAGGAAGAAGCAATGGAAGATGATGAGATCGAGGATGTTGACTGAAATGTAGATATCCAAGGGAAAAAGATATCTATAATATTCCGATTGCTCACTTTTGGCTGCCAGATCCCATCTTCACCGCGCCATGACATCAGCTGAGACTCCGGGCTGTAAAAAATGCGATGAAGTGGTGCCGCCGCCACTGCTGTATTACGTGGAGGGGATCAACATTACCCAACCTTTCAACTACAATTTACCTTAAGCCCAAAACTTAATCGAATCATCATCCACATTGACCAATCGGCTTGTCTAGCCTGGACCCACATCTAGCCTGGATTGGATGAAATTGTTTTCAAACTAAGGGTTTTTTCTTTGCTAGCTGCGTTATGTCAGGACCCGTACATGGACCTTTCGAGCCAAGCTGACCACGACCTGTGGCTGCAGTTACAACAGCAGTTGCGCTTGGTTCCCAATCGTACAGTCACGCTTTTAAAGGTTCAAGCCCATGCAGAAGCGAGCCAGCAAGATCCCCCTCTTGATTCCTGGGCTGGCCTTTTGGATCACTTGGCAGCGTTTGAGTCAGGACCTAGCCTACTGGAGGCGCTTAGGAAGGCAGTTGCACACCATGTATGTTGCCATTGCCCAGAAAGCCCAGCAAGCAAAGGCCATGCCTGACACCCAGGTGCTGCCGCCCTTGGGGGTCCAACCAGCTCCTGCTCCACTACCAAAAGGTCACTGGCCACAATGGACCGTCATGTGACGGTAAACGATGGGTGAGAGCACACAGCCCGATCTTTATGACCACAGGCAGCAGGTCCAATGGTTTGCCAGGTTTTTACAGAATGTTTGCAAGGATGTCACTCAACCTTTACAAATCCAACAACGCAGGCCGCCCAGCCATGTCCTGACGTTTTGGTCAGGTCATATCCGTGTTTGCCTGTCACCAGATGACCTTTTAACTACCAATACCTTTTTGCAACGACATGCTTCGAGACTGCCGGCCAGACAGATCAGACGTGATTTGGCCAACGTGCCGCCCGGCTGTTCTACTTAATACGTTTCGCCCAGAGCGAGCAACCGTCTCCGACTCTCTGAGCGGTAGCTTCGGGCCCAGGCTTTACTTAGTGTTGCTTTGGGTTTTCTTCAGGGTTGAGTTAAAGTCTCTTGAGGGACTCTTTGTTGTTGACGCTCCGTTTTTCCGTGTTACGATGGGTTAATAGATAGATAGATAGATAGATAGATAGATAGATAGATAGATAGATAGATAGATAGATAGATACAGCTTTCAGGAGTGACTGACTCTTTGTTGTTGACTTTCTGTTTTCCCCGGGGTTCCTGGATTCTCCTTCCAGGATGACCGACTCTTCGCTGTTGACTTTCTGTTTTCTCCGGGTTCCGTGATCCTCCTCCCGGCTTCCGAGGGGTGACTGACTCTCGGTTGCTGACTCTCTGTCTCCTCTTCCCGGTTTCCCTGCATCCTGTGCTAGTGTTCACCGGTGACTGACTTTGTCCCATGGGGTTCCTGACTCGGACGTTTGGGGCGGCTGACTCGGGTGACTGATCAATGAACTGACTCTGTCTTTGCCCGTGACTTGGCACTATTTGGCCCTTCTAGACATCCAAAATCAATCAAAACCATCCAAATGGGCCATCCCAGAGATTTATTTTTAGAAGGAGAAGGGGATGTCACCAAACATCATCAAAGTGGACCCAGCAGTTGCAGTGTAGGCAAGAGTTGTGCCATGTTTTTTCATTTTTCTGAGTTTGGAATGGGAATCCATGTGCTGTAAAAAGGCTGCTGACATTGACTTGTAAGGAAGTACGTAATTCCAAACCCAACTGTATCTCGCAAAGCTTGGCAGCCGGGGCTTAAATTTGCAAATCTAATCAAGCGGGAAACAATTACCATAACCTTCATCATTTTGGACCAGGCGAGTCTTTGCAGCGAAGGAAAGGCAAGGCTGAGGACAAGGTTGCAGCTGAAGCGGAGAAGTGACCCGGCACTAGTTCACAAAGACAAGTTGGCACTGCAGAGACATGGGGTTAAGAACGTGTTTGGAATCTAGTTTGCCATTTTGCAAAGTGTGCAGCGTGCATGGCTCACACGTTTGTTGCATGGACAGGCTGCCACACTTGTCATTAATGCATATTAATGCTGATTGCTGTGCAGATCTCAAGGTCTTACAGCAGGTTCAAGAGCATGGTCGATTGCAAGAATTAGCAAGACAGGTTCAGGTATTTCACGCACTTCACCCCTGCTAGTCGCTTTCATTTACGACCCTTCTTCCGAGGTCTGATCTGTTTGCCTCATCCCTGCTACGTTTGGCAATCGGCCTGTTGGGTGTGGAGGTGGCCTTCAAGAGTGGATACCGTTCCAATACATTCTATATTACATGTACTGTACCAACATGTTCTATGAAGTTGCTGTTAAGTTTCTCACGTTTCTGTCAACTTTATCATGTTCATCCGTTTTCGACCCTTGTATCATCAGATCCGCCATGGGATACCATTGGACACGGGGCGCGGGCCATGATGGCTACAGTACCAATGACCCTGGCTTATAGGCTGGCCCTGCCTGTTGCAGGCGCACGAGAAACCAAACACCTGGTCAGAGGTTTGGCTCAGCTTTCAGGACAAGTCCACCACGGAACATTGTTGATCAATGTTGAGCAATGTTCCCCATATATTATATATATGGTCCCGTCCTCCGTCTCTCCACCCACCCCCGCGTGGCAGGGAATAATTGGTATTAATGCGATTTGGTGCCTTTTCATCACCATGGCTGGTTTTCAAAGCCATAGTCTCATATCATCGGAAGGAAAGATTTTCACAGACACATATTTATATATAAATATAAATATGTTCAGGCACGCAAATGCTTAACCGTAAATGTAATATAAAGGTAGGCATACGCATAGATACAAATATATAGATTCCGTAAGGATACATACATTTCAGAACGCAAAGGTACTAACTTGCAATTCTTGGCTCAAAATCATCAATTTCGCAACGACTTTCCTAAACCAGGGTTTGATGCAAGTTCATACAGTTCATCCAGCAAGACCAAGTCCCCCACTTTCGTAGGTAATAGGTAGGCTCCCTTAGATTGGTTCAAGCTGCTTTCCTTCACCAGGATAGAAGTTATGGAATCTTGAGCCAAAGCTTAACTGTATTCTCGCTGTTCCTTCTACACCCTGTTGCGCGCCAAACCTCCAAACTATACATTACTCCTCTTGTTGTTGCTGCTTCCTTCTCCATTTGCAAAGTGGACAGGGTGTTTCCTACTTTCTTGCCGCTGTAGAAACGGGAGGGATCACAATGCAGCCTGGCGTTACGTAGCCCGTTTGGAATCAGTCTCTCTCTCTCTCTTTGTCTCTGCACTCCCTTCATTGCTATTGCTTCTTGCTGTGATGGTAGAAGGATTCCTTCTGTCAGGGGCTCGGGACGAAGTGTTTTTCATCCGACGTCTTTCCTGTTCCCTCTCTCAATTCCTTGCATTCCCGTGATGGGCCTTTCATTGCTATCAGCACAAGTGGCAGGATAGTTTTTGGCTTACTATCAACTTTCCAATTCTCCCCTCCTTTTGTGCTCATGTTTCCTCGATTTGCTTGTCTAGTTTCCAGAATTGCCGCTTTGACTGGAGGACTGGCTCTCCAAAGAGGTTAAACCTGAACCTGCTGCACTTGTTTGCTTCTTTTTCTCTTATATCTTTCTTTCAACTTTGGATACCCATGGAATACTAGAGATTACCTTGCTCAATCCTATAATGCTATAGGCTATAGGTGGTTCCTGTGATATCTCTTGAGCCCGTACTCTTGCCTTGTCTTCCTTCAGTCCTTCAGTGGTATATCCTGTTTCTATGGCAAGGAGATAAAAGGTTGGTAAGGGTGGAGAATCTTTCTTCCCACCTCTGAATTGTTTCACTCCAGATTGCTTGTAAGAAATGCCTGGTCCAATTTCTTGAATGAAAAACCTTCTCCGCATAAAGAGCTCTCGTGTATATAATATATCATTTATGCACGCCGGAATTGAGCTTCCCCTCCCAGCCTCCTAGTCATTCACAACGTTAGGTTGGTTTCGCAATGTTTGCCACAAGCTCTTAACTTTTTTTTGACTGGCCTTGTTTCCCCGGCGCAAGGTCTTTGAATTGCTCTTTCATACGGCAGATATGTTTCTTTCCAAACAGAAGTGTGTCCACACGTCCACACTGAAGAGGGTTCTTACGGTAGGTGTCAAAGCCGGTGCTTGATCAGGGTGCTCCATCCGGCTTCCGGCTTTTTTCCTGTAAATTCTCGCGTAAAATTGCTCTAGTGACATGTCCATGTGCATTTCGATTGCGCAGGCCCGCACAAAGTCTGCGCCGTGGGCTTTGCTAGATCTTGGGGCGCGGTGCTTTCCCTGTAAATTCTCGCGTAAAACGGCTCTTTTGAGATGTCCAAGTGCATTTCGACCGCGCTGGCTCGCAGTCCGGGGCGCGACATTTTCCTTGTAACTTCTCGCATAAAAGGGCTCTTCTGAGATGTCCAAGTGCATTTCGACTGCGCAGGCTCGCACAAAACGGTTGTTGCAGTCCTGGGGCGCGGCATGATTCCCCGAGAGTTCTCGCATAAAATGGCTCTTCTGCAATGTCCAAGCGCAGGCTTGCACAAAACGATAAAATGGGATCTTGCGCAGGTCCATGAGAAGATCTTGTGGGGATCCTGCATGATCTTGCACAGGTCCTTGTGAGAAGATCTTGTGGAGATCCTGGTTGGCTTCTCTCCAAGAGGTCCTTGCGTTATCTAAAACAGCTCCGTATGCGAAGATCTTGTGGAGATCCTGCTGAAAGCATCTAAGAGGTCCTTGCATGATCTTGTACCGGTCCCTGTAAGAAGACCTTGTGGAGAGCCTAGCGACATGCAGTCGTGTATGATCTTGTACAGGACTTTGTGAGAAGATCTTGAAGTAAAATCCTCTGGGTGTCCGTGCATGACTTGTCTTGTTGAGAAGATCTTGTGGAGATCCTGTTCAAATCCTCCCTGTGAGGCGTTGCAGGAAGTTCTTGAAGATGCTTTGCATGATCC